CCCACTTCACCCTCCCCTAAGGCCCACTTCACCCTCCCCTAAGTCCCCCTTCCCCCTCCCTTCCTCCTCAGATACAGAGAGGGGCTGCCGGTGATAAAACACAGTTGTATACCTTTCCCGCGAGGTTCAAGTGAGCTCGCCAGGATGAGAGGTGAGAGAAGGACCTTTTATAAACTTCATCTCGCTGCCACTCACGTCCTATCCTCCCCTCCTTCTCCTCCTACTCCTGCTGCCCTTCCCTTTCCTACTTTTCTCTCTCCTCCAACTCCTCTACTGCTCCTCTCTCTACTACTACTACTCCTCCTCTTCCTTCTGTTCATCCTTCACTTGCTCTTCCTCCTTTTCCTTCTCCTGCTCCTCCTCCTCACAGCATCAAGTATCACCCAACCACCACCGACATCCTCACCGTCCTCATTCGAACCACTTAATAGAATCGGAAATACACTTACTCTATAGGTTTTATTCACCCACTTACCATTAAAAGAAAACAAAAACAACTTACAATCACCTTTTAAGTCAAAATAAAAGTGCACTTATGACTATCCCTATCCAAAATAACCTACTTAACAAAATAAGAGACATGTACTTATAATCGACTTTTCATCAGTATATCATCAACATTAAGTATAATTTTGGACGTATATAAACATTAGTGAAAATAAGGACACTCAAACACGGACATGAAACACGAGTCTCTACACATGCTCGCGTTACATAACACTCAAGCAAGGTGAATGTATATACTCCAGCACGCCAACTGGTTCCTTTGTCTCAGCTGTGGGATTATGACCTTTTACAGGGGTGGGGGAGGGAGGGGGTATAGTCAACCCTCAATGATCCTGTACTGCCCATATGAATGCATGTATCTCGGGTCTCTTATTGGTATATAATGACTAATGAACCTTACGTGTGTTAAAACTTGGCAAAACGACTAGACAAGTTATATGGGTAGATCAGGATGTTATATTCGGTTATAGAGACCCGCGGGTATATGGTATAAGAGAACCACGTGAAGACCTGTATACAAGAGCGTGATGATTACTTACCTTGTCCAGATTATAAGTAGATTAAGTAAATAAGGATCGTATTTACGACACTTATTTCATTCTCTTTGTTAGTTAAATGAAGGCAGTGCAGACATGTTACCTTCACTTTACACTGAGCCTTTATCCACTTCGTCACTCAGTATATATATACAGTATATTTCCTCTCTTGACGGTGAGCCTTGGTCGACTCCACAACACAGTCTCAGGATTATGTGGCCGCTACATAATGGTGGCTTCATTAATCTTACGTCACAACAATGGTGCACCTCCGCGACACTCGTTCCACCGTGAACCACACACATTATAGTGTTAAAAGTCCACTATACTGCCTCCACTTGGCCTCCTGCTCCACCACACACACACACACACACACACACAAAATACATACATGTACAGACGATACAAACCGACACACACACACACACACACACATGTACAGACGATACACACACACACACACACACACACACACACACACACAGGAAGAGGAAAGTGACGCGGGCCTCAGATAAGCTCATTCCCTTCAGAAATGGAAAGCCGAACCCCGTATAGAACGCGTCTAACTCATGGTCTGGCTGGGATTGAATCTTTCGCGATTTTTTTCTTTTCTTTTTGTGAGAGATGAAGAGATCTGTGGAAGTAACTCAGTGGGATTGATCGTAGCGACTTGACGCAGAGATGTAATGGTGGGCGAGATACTTGCTGTGTGTGTGTGTGTGTGTGTGTGTGTGTGTGTGTGTGTGTGTGTGTGTGTGTGTGTGTGTGTGTGTAGTTTAATTTAAACAAGCTTAAGCACCATACAGGAAACACGTACAAATACAGGAAGATCATAACAGTGTACAAATGCCGACGCGTACACAAACTACAGCACAAGGCCGAGGGAACACGAGCGTACGCCCCCCCCAAACACATACACAGTTCATAGTCCACAAACACACACACACACACACTTTGAAAGGAGATACGGACAGACGAGAGACAGACAGAAACGTACACAGACAGACGAAGAAACAGAGAGGATGACGCCGGGAGGATAGTGACGTCCCTCTTGACCAGACAGACAAGGCAAAAATATTACCCAAGAGGTTCCTCAATTTTGGTGCTGGTGTTCTTCTATATTACGACCGGGGCGAGACCTGACCAGAATAGTAATGTATTGGAGAAACGCTACATACACAGACACACACACACACGCCATACATACACACCTACAGTACACACAAACACACACACACACACATCACACACACACACACACATACACACACCATACATATCTACACACATATACATACCCACGCACACACATTCACACACACCATACATACCACCACACACACACACACACACACACACATCCACACGCGCACACAATAATCTGGAAAGTTGGAGACGGAGAGATATGGGCCCAAAGTTGGTTGTGGATGTGTAGGGTTTGTAGCAGCTGTGTGTGTGTGTGTGTGTGTGTGTGTGTGTGTGTGTTGTTACGAGCAAGAGATAGAGATTTATGCTTTTAAGACTCCCGAAGACTGTCACCCTTGTCCCTATAACTTAACTTAACCATACTTAACCTAACCTAACGAGAGAGAAATTGTCGGGTGGGGGGAAATTGTCTGCGCCGTCAGCCTCTCACACGCCTCCTTAACCCGACCAGTGGGTTAGTGGGGTCTCGTGTCACGGTAATCGACGCCGTGCATAATGTATGTGTGAGTCTGGCTACTTCCCTCCTCTACTCCAGTCTACCTTGCCTGTCTGTCTATCTGTCTGTCTGTCTGTCTGCTCACCCTGAACATTAGAACATAGGAATGGTTGAAACTGCAGCGGGCCTATTGGCCCATACTGGGCAGTCCCATTTACACCCAACCCCTATTGCTCATATATCCATCCAACCTATGTTTGAAGCTCTCCAGCGTATTCGAGTTAATGATGATGTTTGGTAACTTGTTCCACTCAACCACTACTCTATTTCCAAACCAATGTTTACCTATTTCGCGCCTAAATCTAAATTTGTCTAACTTAAAACCATTGTTACGAGTTCGCTCCTGGTTGGATAGTTTGAGAACTTTTGTAATGTCCCCTTTGTTTAGCCCTGACTTCCATTTATACACCTCTATCATGTCGCCCCTCACTCTACGTCTCTCGAGGGAGTGCAAATTAAGATGCTTTAACCTGTCTCTGTACTCAAGGTACTCAAGTCTTGTCATTCTCCTCTGAATTCTTTCCAAGGATTCTATATCCATTCTGTAATATGGTGACCAGAATTGAACTGCGTAACCCAAGTGAGGTCTCACAGGCGCAAGATATAGTTTTAAGATGACCTCGCTAGTCTTGTAACTAACACTCCCTTGTATGAACCCAAGTACTTTATTAGCCTTGTTTCGAGCAAATACACATTGTTTACTTGGCTTAAGATTCCTACTTATCATTACTCTTAAATCTCTCTCGTAGTCGGATTTCTCAATAACATCGTTGTTTATCTGGTATCTGGTTTCCCTGTTTACATCGCCTATACTGAGTACTTTACATTTGTCCACATTGAATTTCATCTGCCATTTTTCAGACCATTCGAAAAATTTGTTTATATCTTCCTGTAGTTTTGCGGAGTCCTCGTCAGATTTAATTACACGTCCTATTTTAGTGTCATCAGCAAATTTACTTATGTTGCTGTCTACGCCGATATCTATGTCGTTTATGTATATAATAAATAATAATGATCCAAGTACTGAGCCTTGGGGAACTCCACTAGTGACGTTGCTCCAATGGGATTTAGTGCCGTTAATGCTCACTCGCGGTTTCCTGTCCTGTAACCACGCCCTAATCCATTTTAGAATATCACCTTTAATGCCATGAGCCTCCACTTTTCTTATTAGTCTTTCGTGGGGGACTGTCGAAGGCTTTGCTAAAGTCGAGATTTACCACATCATAATTGTGCCCCTCGTCCACTGATTCGAAAACCGATGAAAAGGATGTTAATAGATTAGTTAGACATGAACGCCCGTTTGTGAAGGCGTGTTGGGAATCATTGATCAACTTGTGCTTCTCCAGGTGATTTCGAATAGAGTTTGAAATGATTGCTTCCAGTAATTTACCTGCAATTGATGTTAGACTGATTGGGCGGTAGTTAGAGGATAGTGATCTATCTCCCTTCTTGAAAATTGGTATTACATTCGCTATCCTCCAGGATTCTGGTACTACACCTGTTTTTAAGGACATGTTAAACAACTTTGCTAAGGGCATACTAAGCTCTTCCTTATATTCCTTTAATACTCTGGCAAATATCTCACCGGGACCTGGTGACTTATTAGGCTTTAGTTTGTCTATTTGCTTACTAACATCGTTACTAGTCACTACTATCTCGTTTAATTTATTTTCTTCACTATCTCTGTATAGTGTCGGTGCCTTCACCACCCTGCCTGCCTGCTCATCCGGGCTGCCAGCCACTGTTCCATACTACGTGAAGTCATCGGTAATCCACATCCAGGCTGTATAATACAACTCCACACCAAGCACGCTATGACACTCCACACCACAACATTAACACTGAAAGTCACACCAACAACACCAAGCCTCCACACCACACCAACACCACCAGTCATATAAGCTGGCTGCACCTCACCCCTCCCTCCTGTGTAACCCCGCGGCACAACTGCTGGGATACGTGCAGCAGAGAGCAAATATTTGAAAATCCATCCCCAGATTAAGACCTCCGGCCTTAGCGAGTCCATGAACCATCCAAGTGTACGATAGTTTCTTCCTCACAGACGGCAGCGTGCGTCAAGCGTGTCCGCCATGCCTTATGAGACGTACGACAGTTTCTCATAGACGAATTTCAGCACGCGTCCACCACCCCCAGGAAACGTGCAATAGTGTCTGGCTGACCTGAGCAGAACAACAACTGGCCACAAGAGACGTAAACAAAAAGTAGTGTGGAAACCTAAGAGGAGCAGTACTCACCCAGGGACGAGACGGCGACGCCCACCAGCAGGAGCAGCAGACTATGGGTGTGGGCCATCCTAGACGTGGGTGGGGGGGGGTCGACTTGCGTGGGCCTCGAGCGTCTTCAATGATGTGTGGGCCTCGAAGTGTGACCTTGGGAGGGGGGGGAGGGTGTAATTCCTGAAGAAGTGTCACTACCTCGGGATTAGGCGTGACCCTGAAGCAGTGTGATCTTGTGACGATGACCCAGGTGTGTGTGTGTCCCCGGTCAAAGTGAAGCCTCGCTAAGTGACCTCTACGTCCTGATCATGGAGCGAGGTCGTGCAGGACTCCCCAACCTGGAACAAAATGGTCCCTATTAAGTTTCGGCTTCACTGAATAAGATGAGGAAGTCTCCACAACACCTGTACCTAAGATAAAATGAGAGTTTAATATTAAGATTAAAATTATTGAAAACACGGAGAGCAAATAGGCTACTTAGCTACAGAGAGAGAGAGAGAGAGAATTAAGACTCAGACGCACATAACTACTAGATAACTTGAGGAAAACTTTGTTAATATTACTGTCAGTCAATATTTACTACTTGGAAACACGAGAGCAAGTCGACATATTTACCTCTTTTCCTTTCTGCTCTTCCTTATTTCCTGTCTTTCTCTCTTCTCCATTTCTTCCCTTCTCCCTCCCTCCCTCCTACTTCATCGGTTCCTTAGTCCTTCCCTCCTTTTTATCCCACCTCTCCATTCCTCCTTCACTCTTCTTCCAAATACTCCTTACACCCTTCCTCTTTCTCTCCCAATTCCCTCCCACTCAATCTATACCCTTCCTCCTGCTATGCGATCTTCCTCATCTCCCTCCCCCCCCCATCCTTCCATCCCTCGTACGACTACATCCTTCCCTCCCTAAATCCTATAAGTTCACCCGACCTACCTACCTACCTCCATACATCCTACAAAACTCCTTTCAAAGTATAGGATTCCTTCCCTTCCATCCTTCCCTCCAACGTATAACCCCCCCCACTCCCTCAACTACACAAAATTCCCACTTTCCCTTCCTCCCTCGTACGGCCATACAAACGCCAACCTGTACCCTCCTATCTCCTCTCCTCATCCCTCCCTCCCTCTCCCCTTACCTCCCTCCCTTCATCCTCTACACATATGAGAATCGGGTCCCAGATGTACAAGGATTCGCGTATTCAATTTTCCCCATAAGTGGAGATGTAAGAATTCATCTCAAAGACACGTACTATATAATTTTCTCTCCTTACAAATGTTGTTCGTTAAAAAAAAAATATCCAAAAGGTTCGTATCTTGAATATTATCATCCACATACAGCTAAATATACGTATTTATAACACCATAAAACAGGTATTCTATGTGATATTTTGTTATATTAGGATTTTCTTCACATGAATGAGTGTACAGTATTCATCAAGTACTTTTAAATCAGCTCTGGCACTCACTAAGATCAGCCTATGTTAAGTACTGTTTTTTTCTTTTCACTTTGTATATATTTTTTTCTGGATAAATATGTTTCGATTTCAATTTTTTAAATGGTGAACTTGAAGCTGCAACACAAAGTAAGTAGCAAGTTCATTTTACCCCACGACCATACATAGATGACAGTCAAAATAAAGGAACAATTTTACCCTAAGTACCTTATTGTACCTGAACAAAGGGCGAATCTCTCTATCTTTATTTAAGGAAAAAAAAAGTCTCTAAGAATCGTTTATTGTTTCAACCTTACGTTGAAAAAAAAATCCGTCAGGTTAGAAGTGGTGGACAAAGAACTGACATAACACATCTCCCCACAAAAAAAAAGAAAGAAGAAATGAGCTAGAAATCGGAAAAAAATCGAAAAAATAAAATCTGGGTAAAATCGAGAGAGAGAGAGAGAGAGAGAGAGAGAATACCCCACATAGGGCTCTTTCGGAATCCGGGACGCTCTGGTTTCCGCATTCCTCTCTCAGAATTTCCCTTTGTGAATTAATACAATCCCAGTTCCATTACCATCTCTCCCTACTACCCTCACGCCCTATCTCACCAGCGTACACACACACACACACACACACACACACACAATACGAAGACCAACACGACCACCGACACGTTATCAATAAATACTTCACTGAACTGACCCTGACCATCCACCGTACATGTCAGAGAGAGAGAGATGGAAAACAAAACATGGAAGAGGTAATCGAAGAAAAGAGAGAAGGGGTGAGGGGAGTATATTAGGAAAGATGAGGGGAGAACGAGAGGGTAGAGACTGAGGGGACGACTTAGGGGATAGTACATTAGAAGAGATGAGGGGGAGAATGGGAGGGGGGAGATGTTGGGGAGATGAGGGAGATAAAGGGAGGGGGAAAATGCTAGAGAGATGATGGGAGGGAGAGAAGGATATTAAAACAGATGAAGGGAAAGAACAAGGAGAAAACAGGTGAGGGGAAAATGAAGGGGAGACCAAGGGATGACAAATGGGGAGGACCAACCAGCGATGACGAAAACGAAACTAGAGACAGTTTGGATTACCGTAGATGTGAATTAAACTCCCCCCCACCACCCACCCCCCCACCCCACACATTCTCTCTCTCCCTCTTTCACCTGTAATTATTACCTCACAACTTTTTTGGTATGTAAACGACTTGTACTGTTTCCACCAATTAGCCAGAATGGAGGCCGTATTTTGTAAAATGTTCAAGCACATATACGAACACTAAATACTTTTACGCTATTTTTTACGCCCAAAAAATAAAGGCAATTGTGTAGTCGGATCCAGATGTGGGTTTTAATTCTTTCTAAAGTGGTAAAATGAGAGAGAGAGAGAGAGAGAGAGAGAGAGAGAGAGAGAGAGAGAGAGAGAGAGAGACTCCCCCACCTCATCCCTCTTCACCCCTTGACAGCAACAATTTCGGCCAAGTTCCACGGCTTCGGGTCAAATATCGTCCAATTAGCTACAATTACCCCAAAATAGGGACAAATTCGGCTACAGTCTGGCCAAACGAAATTGAATTAGCCACGACCCCGACCGATGGAAAAAAATGGTCAACTAGGATATCGTTAAATGATGTCAAAATATCTTAGGGTCGAATGATTGACGTAAATAAGAATGGTTAACGTAAATAAGAATGATTGGTGTAGATTTCCCACTGTTGGAAGAATTAATAGCCACATCCCCTCTCTCTCTCTCTCTCCAGCGAACGGCTTTCCCGGAATCTCTCAATACAACTTTTGATTTTCTAAACTTTATAGTCTCCCTCAATTGCACCAAAGAAAACGATCACACAGCAGGACGACTTTCAACTCACGCAACAGAAAACGGAACTAACTGACTGACTGTATCGTAAGTGAAGGCCTTTACACAACAGAAAATGTAAGACTGGTTCAGAAAAAAAGAGGTTTTAACAGTAGAGAACGAGGATAGTTTACATCAGAAACCGTGAATCATTCCTATGGAAAAAAAAAAAAAAAAAAAAAAAAAAAAAATTATATATATATATATATATATATATATATATATATATATATATATATATATATATATATATATATATATATATATATATATATATATATATATATATATATATATATATATATATTTCATGTAAATCCACAATGAAAATGGATAAGATAAATCTTGATAAAATCACACGGAAAATGGAAACAACGTTATATAAAATGGGAGAATTTGTAATCTAGGCGTTATTGAGAACGTTGACCGTGTTTCAATAGGAGTAATTTACCGGTACATATTGATGCTCTCTCTCTCTCTCCAAATCGTCCCATTTTTTCTCCCCCTCACTCTCAACTCATTCTCTCCCTTTCTCCCCAACTCTCTCTCCTTTTCTCCCCAACTCACTTTCTCTCTCACTTTCCCACTCTTTCTCTCCCTCTCCTCTTCCTAATAAGATACACACTGTCAGAGTCTTGTACTTGACTACTGGGGCGACTGTGTGAATCCGGCTGTGTCTTCTCTTCTGTTATTGCTTCTCAGGGCGTCGTCTTTCAGAAACAGACAGACCTACATACATACATACATGAATAACACAACATTATTGATTTATTGATGACGATGAGAACGGAAGTACTCGCGATTGGTTTTGTGTGTGTGCGTGTGTGTGTGTGTGTGTGTGTGTGTGTGATCAAAATGTATAAACAAAAAAATACAAGGCTCCCAAACCTCCACGAGTTGTCTCAATATATTTAAAAAAAGAAAAGAAATGGCCATTACTTCACTGAACATCAAAGTAAAGTAATGATTATCGTTTAAGTCTGAGATCATGTTGGGTTACAAGCACATACCAAGTTTCACTGAGATCCATGCCGATTTTCTCAAGTTATCGCATTCATGAGATCTGACACTAATTTGCACCTGAAAACAAAACTGGCCGTAACTTCTTAATATATCATGGGAATGTTATAATTTTTTAACACGATCAAGATCTTGTTCGGTTACATTCACTCACCAAATTGTATCGAGATCCACCAATAGTTGTTGAAGTTGTAGAATTTAAAATATCTCTGGATGGCAAACGAATATTATGTCCACCTCATCCCGGTGATCAACAAGGTGATTTTCCCTCAACAAATTACCGAACGTGGGGAAAAAATCTTGTGACTTTTTACCGAGCTAAAACATTTCTCCACATACAGCCAGGAGACTTTCTGCCAGGTGTTGTATTTACTTGACAAACAGGGTAGCGGTTTACCTGGCACAACACTTCTTACCCCCAGCTTATGTCAATTCCGCTTTTACTTTGATATTAACGAGGAGAGTCGACACACACACACACACTCCAGGATTAGGTGTCAGAGGGAGGGAGAGAGTCATTTCAATTCGTTTCTTTTCGTTCTGTATTATTAAATCAGATATTAAAGTTCAAGTACAATTGCAAATACAGGTAAAATTACAAATGCAATTACACGTGCAGGTACAATTACACATACAGTTACAATTACAGAGAATACAATTAAGGTACAAGGTACAGGTCAAGGTATAAGGTACAGGTATATAAACTACCGTACAGTATGGAGACAAAACTACAGGTGAAAGTACAGAAACAAGGGAACAGATAATTACAGGTAGATACAGATACAGAAACAGACATACAGGTACAGAATAGAGAGACAAATTCAGGGAAAAGGGACGTGAGAAGAGAGGAGAAGAGAAGCGAAGAGAAGAGATTGAAAATAAGAAAAGCGAACAGGATGGAGGCGAAAAGCAGGCAGAAGAAACGAAGGGGAGAGGGGAGGAGGAATGGAGGGAGTGAAGGGAGAAATGCAAGGCGAGAGAAGGGGGAGGAAGGGAGTGAAGAAAAGGAAGGAGAGGGAGGCAGGGA